GTCAGAAAACATGGCTGCCAACAGAGACTCACAATCCAAAGTGCCGAATGGACTGTATATGGCAGAAATAGCCCATTCTGTTCGTGGGATTGGAGCGCCATTCGTATGGTTACTGTATGCGAACGCGAGCCATTAGATGAATGGTAGAATGAACGGTTTTCCTTTATTAATGTTAAAGTTATGGATTTTTATGCAGTTTTCAGGGACATAATAAAACGTGGTCTTTTGTGCGCTTGGAGATAATTAGATTGTATAACCGTTGGCCTCATTATCTCCAAGCTGGGCGGGTACTAATTCAAATAATACACTGTATTGTGATTGGATATTTGTCTGTACTGTACCTGTATTCCATCAGGTCCACAGGGGGCTGTCCTTGGACCTGAGGAATCACATAAATTGCCATGTTATGTGCCAGTAAAGGCAGTTCGTTTTGACCCTCAACTTGCAGCCTCGACTCATGTTGTAGGGATCCGGGATATTGATGCTTATATCGTGCTTGGGGATATTCTACACTTACAGCTTACTACCGAAAGACCTCAGTTCGACTCTCTGCAGCGGGAACCAGGACATCCAAGCGATCAACCCTCCTGCTACACTGGGGGCAATCGTAACACTGCCCACGTCAGTAGGAATTCTATGTCCACCCATCTCCTAAGGTCTGGGAATGAGTGACAGTGTATGATCTGGTTTAATTTGGCCACTAGGTAGTAATGGGACAGATGAGGGAGACTTACTCCTCCATACTTGGGATTGTACAGTAGGCTGTGGGCTAGTTCAGCGCTATTTTATTCTGCCATATGAATGAGTCAATTGCTTTTTGCATAGACGTCAGGTCTCCTCTGGTAACTTTTACGGGTAGTGACTGGAACATGAACAGTCGTCTCGGCAGGAAATTCATTTTTACAGAATGTAGGCGCCCCATCCATGAGACTGGCTTCTCTGCCCACTTCTCCAAGTCTCCTATGAGAGTGTGAACGATGGGGTATAGTTTCGCCTATATAGGGAGGCAGGGTCTGCTGTTAAATTGACTCCCAAGTATCTAAACTCGTCTGTCGCTATTTTAAAGTGGTATGTCTGACTGATAGTGGCCATGTCCAGGACCAAAAGGTGAAAGGGCATCGCAACTGACTTGGAGAGATTGACTTTCTAGTCAGAGAGGTCTCCGTAGTGGTTTAGCAGTGTTTCAAGGTTGGGCATGCTTTGTATCGGGTCTGTGAGGGTCAGCAGGACATTGTCTGCATATGCTGACACTTTAAAGGGTTTGGCGTGCTCATGTTCAGTCTATCACCAAATCCTGCCACTTCCATCTCAAAAAGATTGTGCGCATCTGACCCTACTTTACGCCAGATGTGACTAAGGTGCTGGTCCATTCCACTGTCCTTTCTCGCCTTGACTACTGTAATCCGTTTCTCAGTGGTCTTACATGCTCCCAACGTGCACCGTTACAGTCCATAATGAATGCAGCACTGAGGCTCATCTTTCTGTCCGCCCACACCTCCCACGCCTCACCCTTCTGTCAGTCCCTACATTGGCTTCCTGTAAGATCTAGGGCTCAGTTTAAAATTCCAGTTCTTGCTTTCAAATCTCTACATAATGCTGCTCCCACCTATCTATCCTCCCTAATACAGAAGTATGTCCCTCTAGGCCCTTACGCTCTGCTGAAGACTTGTGTCTATCTTCTGTCTATACTCCCACCTCTGATGCCTGCCTTCAAGACTTCTCGAGGGCTGCACCATTCCTGTGGAACTCACTTCCGTCCTCAGATGCTCACCCAGTCTCCACTCCTTCAAAAAATCATTAAAAACCCACTTCTTCATAAAAGCGTATCAATTAAACTGTTAATAGCTCCCAACTGATTCCTCTATTGCAACTGTCACGAGTCTAATACTATCCTTACCTTTTGTGTCACTTTACCCCACTCCCTCTAGCATGTAAGCTCATTGAGCAGGGCCCTCAACACCTCTGTTCCTGTGTGTCCAAATTGTCTGGTTACAACTACATGTTTGTTCGTCCACCCACTGTAAATCGCTGTGGAATTTGTTGGCGCTATATAAATAGCATAATGATAATTAATATTGACAGCATAATCTGACTTCCTCTTTAAACCTAAAACTCTAGAACTCGCCAATGCGACTCTAAATATGAAAACCTAGAAAAAGCACTTAATTCATTGATAATATTAGGTCATTATATTTAAGGTTTTCATAGCACAGTAAAAGAGAAAGCTGTGTAATAAAAGAGAATCACACTTTCCTCTGTCGGTACTTGCTCAAAGGCTTGAATCCATCCTTTGTGAATACACCTTACAATCCTAAAACTCTGGGGCAGGGACAAACCTAGATTTGACTTAACAGGGCCACACCTGAATGTAACTGACACGTGGCAAATATGGAAATTGCCTACACCTCTGTAAAATGTAGCTTGGATTGGTGTTAATGTAGAATCCTCTTCTTGTCTTCAGGTGATTGATATATATACGTCTTTTGTATATATATTCTTGGGCCAAATGCTCGCCACAATAATATATGTCTATATTATTGAAAAGTAGTAATACGCAATCTGATTTACGGTTTCTTCAGGTTTATGCTTTGTTACGGATACATAATAAAACATAATAAAGGATGTTACATGATAGTGGACGTTCAACAGCAGATGGTAATTGCTGGACTTCTTTTGCATCCTTACATCTAGGGAGAGAGAGCCAGAGCCAAGACCAAGCGACCTTGTGCCCCTCTTACTATATAGATGTGCTAATACTAACGTCAGCATTTAACTCTAGCCATATAAGGACAAAACCACCACATCCACATTCCAGAGCTCTCGGACAAAGAAAGCCTTGTGACTTATACCATCTGTT